TATCATCCTTTTAAACATCCCTTCGTGAGCATGAAACATCTCACATATACACCATATGAAGAAAATGCAAGGAATGTGGAACACTTCTTAGGAAAACACCACCAATATATATAAAAGCCTAAGTGACCATTATGACCAGTTGTTATGATGCACACCGGCCACCGGGGGCAGACGCTCAATGCAGGAGCTGCCCCTGGTGGTCAGTGTGCTCCCACAGCCAACCTCCTGGGGCCGGCTAGTGGCCTCGGCGTCCATTCCTTCCATGCCTGGCTGGGCGACCCTTGCCTCCTCTCCCGAACCTGCCTGGGAAACTGGGGGTGGGTGGCGGCAGGCGCAGCCCCTTTCCCGGGGGGCCAAGGGCCGGCTCCCTCTTTGGGGCCAGAGGCCAACTTCCTGCGCCCTGTCTCTCCCCATAGCTGGCAGGCCCCGATTGACCCGTGGTCCCTCCCTGTCCCTTCTCCAGGCCGGCAGGCAGGCCCCAATTGCCTGGACCTTATCGGCTCTGATTGCTGGCCAGGCCTTGGGACCCCACCCATGCACGAATTGGTGCACCAGGCCTCTAGTTGTCTTATAAAACAATAATGGTTTCAAAGTCGTTTTAAATTGTTAAAAATCTGTCTAACCACTGTTGAACAGTAGTAAAAGCAATTAGGACACATGCACTGTAGTTCAGCTAAATACTTGGATAGGACTATCTTTTATGATGGTCATATTAACAAGATAAAAAGAGCTTGTTAATTAAATTGGTTTACTTAGAATATACAAATTTCTTCAAAAAGCAGCACTTTGGTTACTGAATTTTCTTTCATTGTTTGAGTAATAACAATGCCTTGGCAAAACTTCATCACTTTAAAAAAATTACATGAGATTCTACTATTTCTTAAGAAAAACTGTCCATTGCCTCAATCTGATAGACAAGCAGTTCAGCGAAGTCCCAACTAAAAATGATAAATGATACAAACTATAAATTCCGTAAAACAAGTATGATAATTTTAAACTAAAGGAAATGTACCTTGCAACAAACCAGAAGTTTCTGTGACTGTTTGTGGTATATTATGGATCCTGGAATAACAGTCTGTCCTGTTAATTTTGGATCTAAAAAATGGAGGGGGTGGGGACATGAGAGAGCGAGAATAATTACACTTCATTGTGCTTCTTAAAGATTAAATCATCTTGGGAGGCGGCACTAATCTAGAGAGGACTCATTTGCTGATGACCTGACTCTGTAACCCAAACTTACAATGGAGCCACAGTACTTTGTGTGTACCTTGAACCCAAACGCAAGCTTTCCATACACATAAGCTATGAGTCCTTTACCCAGTCTCTCAAAGGTCAACCTAAAAATGCTGAATCCAGAAGCTTTGACCATTTGGGGGAAATAACTAGCTACCAGTGGAGAAATATACAGGAGCTTAGCTGGCCCCTTCATCCATGAACCAAACACATACCAATTCCTAGATTTCTGGGGAACCCTGACTCTGAACTACACCAGCACCCGCTGTGGCTCACACTCCTTCAGTCCACCACATTGGGAGGGTACTAATGGGCCTCAGAACAGGCCTGTATTGTGAAATGGCATACCTTGGCCTAAGATCTCCCTGAGCTGCTGAGACATTTTCATTATGATATTCACCAGAATGAAATGCACCAAGTCATTTTGCACCCCCTGAAAGCTTAGTGTAGGAAATCACAGAGCTTAAAAAGGGGTAGTACCACTGCTCTTGGGACCCCACAGCTTCCTATGATGATTACATGAGAAAATACATGTGAATGGACACTAAGTGAATGTAAAATATTATCATTATTGAACCCAAACAAACTAAAAGAATTCCTACTTTTTGTAAATGTGACCTATGGTAAAACAGACACATTTTCAAATAGACTATAGTGAAAACATTTCTATGTCAGCTATTCAAAAGTTAATACCAGTGAGGACTGAATGATTAACTTCTACCAAATCCAGAAGTTTAATGGTGTTATCCATCCAGAGTGTCTGTAACGGAATCTGCAAATATAATTAAAGAAGGGATGATTAAAGAAATGCCTCAGCCCCCAAACCTTTTAACTAACATTCTGTGCCAATCAGGTCTGACTTGTCTCCCAATTACAGAGGAATTGGGAACTCAGTTTCTAAATCTTACACAACAGAACATAAATCAGTCTCCAGAATTTATAAGACCTTAACATTAAACACTATTTTAAAATCAATGTTTATATCTTTATTATTTCTAATTAAAAATATACATGATAAAA